TTTCTCTCAATGTACTGGGGCCTCCTGCTGTCGGGATTGTCACGTGATATGCCCTCCAGGCGCGGGATTGTCACATGACGGGGCGGTCTGGTTGACTCACCCAGCTTCCCTCAGCTCCGTCCCCCTCCCGGCAGCTCCAGCTTGCCGGGGGTCACTCTCCGCGCCTCCACCGACCTCGGCGCTCCCTCGCGCGCCGTGGCGTCTCACTCTCAAGCAAACGCGGGCCGAGGGCGCCCTACTCGCCGCGCCCGGATCCGCCCGTCGCGTTGGATTTGCCGCGCAATCCCGCGGCGTCGATGCATCGCCGGGGCCCGCGGAATGGTGCCCGGAACCGGCCTCCATGGCCCGGCTTCCGCGGCACGGGGTGCGCCGGCCGTTTGCTGGCGCGGCGGCCTTTCCCTCTCGGTCGCTAGGCGCTCCGCCCGCCTCGATCCCCACGGCCATGTTGGCCTTGATTCGGCGGGATCGTGGGCCATCCGCGGGCGGTGGCCATGGGCATCGTCGGGCCCACAGCACCCCCGCGCGCCTCCCCTTTCCGCGCGCTCCAACCGCTTCCCGGCGCGCTCCATCCTGCGCGTTTCCTTCAGACGCAATGGCCAGCCCGATGGCCAGCCCCCTCCGGCCTTTGCGACTTCGGCATCTCCGGCGCAGTCGATCCAACGGTGGCCCATTCCGGGCCCACCGTCCCGGTGCATACTCCGCGAGGCCGCCGGCTTCACCCGGTTCTGTGGGGCCCAACAGCATGGCCCTGGCCTCGCCCTTTCCAGCGCTTTTCTCCCCGCTCAACGGCCAGCTTAATGGCCGGCATCTCCCTCCTTTGCACCACTGGAATTCGCGGCCCAATGGCGGGCCGTTTGCATCGCACCCGCTTCACGGCACTGCGCCATCCCACTCGCTGCTATTGGCCGCATTGTTGGCCTCCAGCCACGCGCGTTTCTCCTCGGTTTGCCACAGCTCTCCAGCGCGTCCGATCCGGGCACAATCCGGTGGTACCAACAGCAAAGCACACCAGAATTGCGGAGCCGACCGTGAAGCTCGTTTGGTCCAGTTCCAACGGTCTCACCGGCATGCAGCTCCACTGCACCATCCACCTCCGGCCTTCCTGTTGCTGCACCGTCCTCCAAACGTCACAGCACAGCCAGCACAACTTGTTTGCCAGGTTCCCTGTGGCCCCACTCTTGCATCGCCGGCATCACACTCCCAGCTCTCCGAACCGTGGACCACAATTCCGCGTCACGCCAATGCAGAATTTCCTGCGGAACGTCCCCGGCTCCTTGCAGCTCAGACAGCATCACTCGTTTTGCCGCAGCACCGTGCTATTGCTCGGATGCCTCGCTCACTCCACGGAGTGTAGAATCCTTGTGCTGTCCGGTCGATTGTGCCTCTTCAGCGGCGGCAATTCGTGCCGTTTGCCACGCAGCCTCGTCGACAGTCCTCCTTGCCTTCCACACCAATCCTTTTGGCTGCTCGTCTTCTGTGCCGTATGCCATCGTCCTCACACCTCCGCCGTTTCCATTCTCCTTCGTCGGGTTGGATCAGACCCGGTTCTCCACCGAATCAAGCCGGGATTCCTCCACCGGCTTCCCGTCGACCTGGGAGTGCCGTTGCGCTGCCATCCCTCGGGGTTGCACTCCTCTCCCCGCCGTCGGAGCGGTCCTTGCTCCGAAACCAAATGATACGGGGCCGAAGGCCCCTCACGCGCGGACAGGGAATGAGAACGGGAGAACAATACTCCCGAGTGGTCTTACATTAAGTACATGATACAACAATCAATTGAATCGTTCCATTGTCCATACAACCACACATTCATTATCTTTGACCACTCAGAAGGTCCACAACATAATCAAATATCATCAAAAGTCATCTAATCTATACACTGTATCAGTTGAAATTTGGAGCAGAACATGCATCACATGTTCTGCTTGGAGCTTGAGCGCAAACAACGTTCCTCCCTTGATTCACCGGTCATCTCCAGAATCCAAGGGAATTAAGATTACGACTCTAGCATTATCCAAAGGCAAATTTTCATGGCTTTACTATTATGACTGACTCGTTTTCTGCCTGGGTTGGGTTCAGAAGATCAAAGCGCTGTAGTTCAACGCTCTTTGGTTAACATACTGCAGTGATGCATGTTCTGGGCAACACCAACAGAAACATAACAGACTTGTCGTTGCTGGACCGCACCCCCACAAGAATATTTGCGATTTTCCCCCTGTGTAGGACAATCACCCAAGCGCTCGGAGTTCTTTGAGAGGGTGTTCCTCTTCGCCATGAGCAAGATGACATGGCCAGATGGTGTGCGATGAAATGGTGCACGGCTGCCGTCCCTCAATGGCACGTAGGTGCCATACACGCACTTACGCAGACTGGATCCATGTCCTGTTCTGTTGAACTGCGGTCAGATCTGCTGGCCTGTACACAGCATTCGGCAAGTTGGGACATGATGCCGTGGAAGCGCATGAGGAGCACCTGGATTCGGTATCCGCTGCTCCTTCATCGCTAGATTGTAATGTCCCCTGTGCGCATGCACTGCATGGGTGTGACATGTAGGCACCGGCAAAAAGATCACTCAGGAAGGAGTTTGCCGCACGGGAACGCAAAGGATCTGGGGGATGCGTGACACAACATTTGGCCAACACCAGCCCAAGAATGCAATTTGTGGAAGAAAGGTGTCTTGAAAGAAGAGAGAATGTTCGAACGCGGTATGTTCACCCCTGTGTTCATCGACCACTCTCCATTGTCCTCGCGCTCACGCGCGCATAGCCTCAGATCACAATTGCCCAAGAGCGGACGCCAAATGGCATGCAGGCGGCTGCGCAATGGACCCAACCAGACAACACGTCGGCCTCCGAGAAATGCGCCCCACCCCACATCTCCATCCAGCACCCCCGAATTGTCGCTCACAAGTGGTACCCCGCAAGGGAAAAAATCATCCAAAGAGGGCGGCCAGGGCAGCGGCACCGGCTGCGGCCATGGCGGCCACGGACACGCCCGCCAGTCCCGCGCCTCCCTGGACGTCGCTGACCAGGCTGTCGAACTCATCCTGAGTCATGCAGGGGCTGTCCACGGTGTTGTTGAAAAGCATGCTCTTGCAGTCGTCAGCCAGCTTGTTGACTTCCTCCAGGACGAACTTGAAGCAGCTCTTAAACTTGGCCTTGTCGATGGGGCACTCGGCCGCGTCCGTGTCCATGGCTGCGGAGAACTCGCTGCACCCGTCCTTGGCAACGGCTGCCGTCATGGCCGCGGCGGCGTCCGCCATGCACTGCGCCTCCTGCTCGGCCGTCAGCTCCGCGGTGACGACCAACAACGCCGCCGCCGCCACAAGGAGCGCCACCGCCGGCGCGGCGAGGCGCGTTGCGCGTGCCATGATTCGCCCACGCAGGTTGCCTCGGTCTGGCTCGGACTGGCGTGGGTTCCAAGCGGGCAAGGCTCGCTCGGGGGGTTGACGACAAGAGAGTTACGACAGCGGCGGTCATCGGCCTCGTCGCCGCGCTCTTATGCACCGGCCGAGAGATTTTTTTTCTGCCGAAGGGGTGGGAAAAATGACCATAAATGTGGTGATGCGCACGTTGAGAGCATTGGAGACCAATATGCATTTCTTTCTATTTATTCGTTGGATGCTTCATCTACGTTTGCATTCTTTGGTAGGTTGATCAATTGGTTCGACTGCTCATCCTAAGGTCGTCAGCATGACGTTGAATATGAGCATCGGGCGTCGCATCACATCGAATCCGCTGCAAAGCACTTCAGCTGACTTATATCACCATCGGTTGCTGTGATACTCTCGTTTGCACAGGATAGACATTCATTCTTCAACGGACAGTTCCTTATAGTTAGTACTTCGATTATTCTTTCAAATCAATGAATACACCGTTACTGCTGGGTCAGACGCTGGCAAAGGTGGGCACGGTGGCCGCGCAGGAGAGAGGGGGGGGGGGGACAGAAGGAGGGAGGCGGCGGCTTGCCAGTGTTAAACTCAGCCCGAGCTTGGGATTCCAATGCAATCATTGCATTGATATTCAACATCAATTATAAAAGTCTCGCCCAGTTTGAGATGTCCAACACAATTGTTGATAATGACGCTTGATTGGTGTAGCTTATTGTACTGCGTCCACCCATGTCAGTCTGCTCTGAATTGCGTGGCGTACGCCTGCCCTGTTCTGAGCGGTCGCTTCCGAGCAACTTCACGCCTCGTCATCACGTCAGCGAATTGTAATTGTCAGTTGGAAACGCATGTCAGCCGTGGCTGTGATGCTCTGCGATCATTACTGCACTGCGTTCCGTTTGCATATCCATGACCCGGCAACCTTTCCTTGGCGTAGTACCGTATTCACTCAAACAGTGCCGCGACAAAAATGATTCTGCAAAGTAGCAAACTTAGTACACAACTTTACTGCAGGTGCACAGGCTACCGCTGATGCGCACTTGGGAGATGCGCTGTGGGACTGTTTGGCATCACGGTTGAAGCGTGTTTGCCATGCATGGCCAGAAGGCTTAATGTTGGTAGGATTGCTGCTTGCCAGCTTCTTGCTGCTGAGGACCATTTGGACAGCATATCGTCGCCACGTTGAATCCATCCTTGAAGGCCAGTCAACAACCGATATGCCATTTCAACGTCATGGGACGAAAGCTGCCCAAACACAAGCATCTCTGCATCAATAAAGTAGCAACCAGCACTGTCCTCCGACTTTTGTACTGTGTCCCCATCTGGGATGCTCGGCTGCCGCCTTCGAAGCTGGCAGCCTATTGCACAACCAACAACATACCCCCGCTCTGGCGTTCTGACCCACCAAATCAATTTCACAGATTTCACTCTAAAAACGAAGTTGTTGCACCCGGTGGTATCAGCAACGTGCACATGCCATTCCCAGCGGGGCTGGAAGGCATTGTTGCAGGAGAAAACTGCCAGCGAACAACCACGTTTCCTGACCGACAGGGTGGGGCAACCACTGTCAGTCTTGCATATTGCTCAATCATGATGCAAGTCACTGCAGAGCGCATCACTTCTCGTGATTTCTGTGGTGGTTGTGGTGCAGTTGATGCGAGCCGTTCAAAAGGTGTGCCAATGCAGCGAGCTTCTGCGCTGGGTGTGAAACTAGGGCAGGTCCCCTGGGTGTGGACGCAAGCACGGCCTTCACAAGCGCTACCCCTAGAAAGAACGCTCTGGAAGCGCCTCTTCGCAATCGGCAATCCAGATGATATTCAGTGATGCTGACCTCAACAGTGATGAATATCTTGTGGCTTGTTTCGAGCACATGTTCATGAAGTCCTTCCAGTAGTCCCCTCCAAAGCATATGCTCTTTCTGAGCTTGGCCTGGCTGCTGCTCTGTTAGGGTTTTTGCCATCCAGCAATGGCCTGCCTGTCACTACCTGGGTTCCTCAATTGCTCTTTGCCCCATCCATTGATGGTGTGCCACCTGAGTTTCTTGACACAACTTGGCTCAATGCATCTGTCCCTGTGGCTATGGGTGTTGTCAGGGTGCCTTGCACACTCTGCATGGGTGCATCGATCGTCACGGCCACAGTCCCCTGAGTATTTGTCATGAAGGTGGCACCATCAGGTTTGGCATCGACCACTAAGCCACCTCCCTCAGCAGCAGACGAAGTTGCCACCACAACATCGTCTGTTTCCATGGCTTCTGCAACAAAGGTGGTGCTTTCCCCGCCTGCAGACAGTGGCCCGGGAAAGTCACAGCAATTTCAGATTGTCTTGAAGAAAGCATAAGCACAGAGCTCCACCCAGCCTGCTCAGCAGCCAGCTCCCAGTGATCCTGCCAGTAAATCCACTGCCACTTGGCCAGCTAAAAGGGATTGAACTGAGTAGGTCGCCTGTGAAAAGAAGTTGGGGTGAGATGGGGTGGGGCAAGTGAGCATTCTATGATTTCCTGGAGGTAGAGATGCCTGGTGCATGACCACCAGATACAGCGGACACTGTGCCCCAGTCAGCAACTGTTGGAAGCCGTGGTTCGACTTGAAATTTGCATATTTGTAATCTGCAGCACTGAGAACATCGTTCTAAAATGAAAGGGCGAGAAATGCGAGCCAATGACTGATGCCTCACCTCTACAGCCCCTTGCAAGATGTGGCCTTTGTTTCATTTGTTGCCCAGTCATCACATCAGAGTGCATACAGTCACCTGAATTTGGGACCAGATACTGCAGATGTCCAAGAGCCCATCTTGTGGTTGCCAGGGACATTCTATCGATACTGCACCTAGGGAATTCGCCAAGCATACCCAATCGTACACATGACTGCAGTTGTATTATTCTCATCTGGCAGCCGCTCACCAGGCTTTCGATGGTCATCTTTCAAGCTTTCAGGAGTGGTTCCCGGTGTTGCAATAGGGGTTGCTTCAGTGGATGGCACTGACTCTGCAGGAGCCCCAGCCTTCCCGTACAAAATCCAATTCCTACATGTACATTGGTCACCACATCATTCCACTGGCCCACAGGCACATCATTGGCAATGCATATTTAGTCACACATCATGCCTGGCATTTCATGTCCAGCATGGGAACAACACTTACTGGAGGCAAAAGTGGATAAGTTACAAGAAAATGCGAAAAGCAACGCCAGACTTGGGGCAGAATTAAATGAAGCAGTTAAAGCACTGAAGTAATTAAAACAATTATATTTCTATATGTCCACCACTACTTTGCCTCCTGTTACCAGGAAGCTCACATTCGATGGACAAGAGGAGTCGTACTCATGACAAGTTCTCGACAATCTCATTGCAACCATGGTAGTGGCTGCGCCGCTTTTTTTGCTGAGACACATAGGGAATTCCACCAGCCCAAGATTGTTTGCATCTTATTCCGATCTTCCTGCTTGCTTGAGCACCCCACCACATCCATCCAAAATCAACAACCAAGAACCCAGTTGTGGCAGCCCGAACGTATTGAACTGCCATCCTTAGTGCCACCCTCCAGTGCAAGCATTTTTCTCACCTGTGCTGCTCTAGTTCCTGCAACACTTCACTCTCTGGCCTGTAGATGAGATCATTGATGCGCCACATCTGAAGCGTCCCTCCGCCTGACTCAGGGCTCACATCGTCCGAGACGCTCAGCATCGTCCAGGGCTCAAGAGGGTTCCACTGAAAATCGACGACCATTGAGCGGTGGCCCACATGCTGGAATAGCAACTCCTGCGGTACGGCGCGTTTGATTCTTTTTATCTCTTGCGATTCCACCTGCCTGCCAGGTTTCTGGTTCAGGTCCATCACACATATCACGCAATCTTCTCCGCTGCTGGCAAGAACGCCCTGGGCAGCACAGCAGTTGTTGAGCACCTGCCTTCTGTTTCTTGCTGAATTGTTGAAAATTGTAGCGCACGCCGATTCGAAGCATTTGACCCTGCTGCGCTCAAACCAGACCATCAGATTCCAGGGTGAAGCCGGTTTCAGTTTGGTAAGCTGACTGCACGTGCAACTGTACAATGACAATCTGTTGCAAAAGAAGACACAACAAGCACAGGAGATAACAACATCGGCTACAACAGATGGATTAACATTACAACAGATATCAAGTGACAGCAGATGACTACACAGTGATGTAAAAGGGCACCAGAAACACAAATTCAGGCTCGGCATGCGACTGCCTGGCTGAGAATTAAAAAAACTTCCAGTGCTCCCATCTTTTGACAATATAGAAAGGGCCCAAGATGGGAGCGGTCCCATGCTTCCTTGTGCAACAACATCAGTTGACACTGTTTTGATCTGCTGTAAATTCGTACCACAGTTGGACACAAATGGGCAATGACTGTCCTACCAAGTTCAGTGGTTGCGCTTTTGCGCCAATTTTGAATTGTCAGCCTCAAACAATTATTTAGAATATGCAAGCTGAGCACACGTGATAGTAGCCTCCGCCTGACTGAAGGGAACTGCCCAATTGCGGCTGACAACACCATGCAAAACAGCACAACTATGAGGCCTGAAAATTCCAATGCAACAATCCTGCATTTTTCCTGCATGGTGAATGGTGGTGAGTGCTGCAGGTCAGAAAAATATATATAAACAAACTCTTATGATAGTCCTAAAAAAGTTGCATCACCCCTTTGGAGGCAGCCAGCAGATGAATGTTGCCACCAACGAAAGCATACAATCTGAATCATTGCATTTAACATCGCTCCAGTCCTACCGCCTTGTGAGGGCTCCACTCGACTCTCAGCACAGCTTTGCGATGCATTGGAAATGTCTTCACCACATCGGTTGCTGCTCCGAACTTTCGCCGGTCCCAAATCTTCAGACTCCCATCTGCACACCCTGTTGCAAGGTACTCGTCCAGTGAACTCCAGTCGACACAGTGCAAGTCGCTCTCACCATGTGCGCGCTCAACCTATGCAATGAGCAACTTGTAAGGCGAGGACCATGTACATAAAACCACTTGCCGTTGCATTTATCCGCTTTCTCCAACTGCAATAACTGGAATGGCGAAACATATCAGTGACAAACACTTGATTCAGCAACTAGCAGGTGAATGCACAACTGATGTGAACCTATTGGGAAGTGCTATAACAAGGCCATAGCCAAAGGCGATGTAACTCAGCTACTTTAAAATGCAAAGAAACAGGCCAAGCAGCAATGAAAAGCAACAAATGCAAACGCATGACACCTTTGCCACAGGTCCTTTGCCACTTCTGGTGTCCCAAAGAAGAATGTTGTAGTCATCCCCAACGCTCGCCAGGCAATCACCGCTGCCTGGCTGGAACACCAGGTCCTCCACAATATCTTTGTGGCCCTCCAGCATTATCCGCTCTGAACACCGCATAACCTGGCTTATTAACAGAATGCAATACAGCAAGAGATGACAGCAGGGGACAGCAGGCGTGTGGAAGAAACAAAGAAACGATGCATTTTATGGCATGCGTAAAAACATTTAAAACCGCGGCCTTGCATCTGCAAGGCGAATGAGGACACATTTGCATTTGGCTTCGGGCAGTTTATATCGACAGTTTCCTGCTCCTGAGGCGAAACGGCAGCAAAGCTGTCAACATGCAGTGGAATCAGAGACATGGTGATGTGTTACCCTTCAGTTTGGGAGTCTTTGCAGGGCTTGATTGACTGGAAGCAGGCCTGCTTTCTGAAGCCCCAGCAGCAAGCAGGCCTGTCACAGCATCGTGCAAGTCCCATAGGAGCACCTGCAAGACATCAATACAGGAATCGAATGATCAGGAACAGCAAACTGTGTAACATCAACAAAAACAGTCCAGGAAGTGGAACAACACCAGGGTGTGCAGGACATGTGAAACCAAGCAATTTAAGCAACTGCTTGCTTTCAAGAAAGGGCACGAATTTGTTTCACCTATTGGAGCAGTGGTGCCATTAAATTCAACCGGCATTGGTGGCCCTGCTTTACTATATAGTGCCGATGACATTCCATATTACAGTAGTACAAGGAATTAGGAAACATTGCAACACAGACAGGCCCACGCTGTTTGCAAGATAAACACCTTTTTGTCTCGGCCTCCGCTTGCAACCATGGGGTGCACAGTGCTGATGCCAAGTGCATATTCCGCATTCTCCTGATGCCCTTCAAGTATCATGTCAGGTGCAGCTGCTTGAGATTTCTGCATCACAAGAGGAGGCACCAAATATCAACAGCATATGCGATCGCTGTTCACATTTTCTGCTTCTTGCAATGACCAAGTTCAATTCCAATCGCCATGGACACAACACACAGAATGCATGTGTTTCAGCAGCAGGAACGTGCCAACGAGGTGACCTTGATACCAAACTTGTGAATCAACAGCTTGCCTCACCTTATCTGTAGCACCCTTGCCAAGCTGCTTGTCGACATTCCAGACAAACAGTTCAGGTGCGTCTGTGTGAGTAACAATGAGGTCAGGGTGCTGTGGTATGTCTCGCAACTTGTTCACCTGCACACACATCCACAATTTCAAGATTTATTGCCCAGAGTGCACTGTGGACACCAAATTTGCTGCAATGCCAATGCCACAAGTAAGGCTCAACACTGCAGATCGACCAATGGAGTTGTTGACAATATTTTGGGTTCGCTGGTTATCAGCAAATCCCTTCACAATGCATTTTCAGGCAACAAAGGCTGAGTGGATGGCAGGTTCAAGATCGATTGCTGACAAGGCACAACTGCCTCAAAACAAACAGTGGAGTAGTCCAAGGCATTTCCTTTTATTAGGCAACCTCACTTCTACAGTGCCAAAGACTGTACGTGATTCAACATTTTCAAGGGCATTCTCAACGGAAATAAATGCTGGCCAGTTCTGAATCTGAACCAAAATGGCAAGCACCAACAAGGAAATAATGGCCATCCAATTCAATGAAGTCGCGCCGGCACAAAAGCATATGGTACTAACCTCTCCGGGATGATTTATTGTCTTCTGGACCTTGATGTATGGGCACTTGTTCATTTCGTTCCAGTTGGTGACAGTCTCTGACGACGCAACCCGTGGCTGCAAATCACACAACAAATGCCATATGTTGTCTGCACAATGCCTTTTGCTGGAGCCCTTCCTTCTGGACAAAATTGTTCCATTCGTGCAGCGAATGCAAAGCCCACAGCAGGGACATTCGAAGGATGCACTACAACAATGGTCAAGGACGAAGTGAAATTCGCTGCTGTGTAGGACAATACTGCCACACTGTGGTCAGGGACACAGCCACCTTGACAAATGCTAAAACCAAATAAACCCAAGAGAATTGGTGCCATCAAAAAGCCTGCAGGGCTCTCACACCTTGCATACTTCTGCTGTCGCCACAGTGATTTTTTGGGGGTCGGTGCCATCGGTCTGTCAAAAGAGAACAAAACGCACGTAAGGCTGTAGATGTGGCACCTCACATGCACACAGAGATCCGTATCTACTCTACGAATTCAGACAGTTCCGTGGTAGAGGTATCAAACCCCAAAATGGCTGGTGCATACCGGCCGAGAAGTTGAAGAAATTGGCAGCAACAGTTCTGCTTGCAGGCGTCCCTGCCCAAAATTGAGACAGGCAAGTCCCCCACTCGGGGCAGGCAACCCGCCATCTCCAGATGGCTTCCATTCAATTCCAAAACTGTTCCCTGTGCGGGCTCATTCTATCAACTCTGCCCAAAACTTTCGCTCGGCTCCGGTCATGGTCGCCATCCTGTGAGGGCCCGACCAGCCCAAGGGCTTCCCCATGACCGCTGCACCCACCTGTTCTGAGAAATAGATCCTGTACTTCCGTTTGTAAGTGGACTCGTCCAGCTTCGGCCCCCATCTGCAGCATCGCAGCAAGCAACCATGTGGCCGTCGATCCCAAACAACGGCAAAAGCCGGTTCCCAGTCCAGCCACCAAACAGGGAGTTTTCAAGGTCATGAATTTGCCGCCTGTCTCTTCGCCCCAGTACCCTCCCCTGTACCCCCGAACTCTTTGCGCCAGTGACGCCTTGCCTGCATGTCAGCGATGGCCAGGTCAGGTTGTGGTTCGCGAACCAGTCGTACAACAACGGTACAACGGCCTTCCACTTCTTGTAGCTATCGGAGTCGGTGGCCATCTTGGCGATCGAGGTGCGACGCGCTGGGGCGAGTGCTTCGGCTGGGTGGCCTGACGCCGCCGATGCGTTGCCCGTGCCCAGCGCCCTTGTGCTTGCAGGGTCGCAAGTACTGGGGAGAGGTGGAAGGAGACCCGATGGACTGAAAAGAATGCGAAGTAAAACATCTTCATTGGAACAGAGAATGAATTTGAGAAGGGTGGGGTGGGTGTTATGATCGCCTGTGACCCAGCGAGGGTGCGGTTGCCCCTGTTGGCCTTTTCTTTCCGCAATGATTCTGCTTACCAAGGGTACGTGCCTCGCCTGGTGTCATTTCATGCATGGCGATTGTCAACATCATCGTTGCAGCGACGTCACATCCCAACAACCTTTGGCCTGCAATCAACAATGTCAGTTGTTCGACTCCCCCATACATGGTCAGGGTTCTATAGCAAGTGGGAAAGTGTGGTTGACTTCTAATGGGGGATATTGGTCGGGTGGTGTTCGATGGACGTAACGCATTGTTCCACCCATTCTTATTGACGATAGCAAAGTTTGCTTTCGCCCGTTTGATGGGGAGTGCCTAGGCCTCTATGATAGAGATAAACTATCTCCTCATGTGGTGCTTTATACGCAAATTAGATTCATCATTTGTGTTGTCTAGTAGTACGGGATGCTGGGGGCTCGTTGGTGTGGAATCTAAGGGAAGACACTAATTGAATTTGCCCCCTATTGTCAAAGTGAAGCTCAGGAAGAGGTGGTGGTGCTGCCATTACCGTGATCATGACCAAGGCCATGGACGCTTAGAGGTTGTGTAACTGAACAAATTCAAAATAGGGCAAGATAATGCAGCTGAACTGCAACAAACGGCTCATGGCTCGTTCCAAATCTTCCTGCAGCTATCAATCTTGAAGCAAGCCCCCAGAATGGATCACATCACAGCCTTTTGGGATGCTCCCATTGCCTACTATGCCCTTTATCATCTCAATTTTAGACCCCTACAATCGCTGCAACTTTGACTCCTTTTATCTGAGGGAAGACGCTATGTTGATTTTGGTACTGCTTAGCGTCAAATTTGACGCTAAGCAGAGAAAACCCACCCAACCGTCTCTTCCTTAGCGTCAATCCTTATGTGGATGCAAGGATGACACAGCAACATTGCCTGATGGTGGTATGCAACTTTAAGTGGTTTTCAGGGCAAAAATCAACCAAATTTGCGCTGGTTCCACCGGTTGAAAATTGGAACTCTAAATGCCATTGTAGGCGAGGCGGGCTGCCTCAGTGGCTGCACATTGATCCAGTCTAAGCCATTCTAAGGTTTTCTTTGACGATCGAACACTTGCAGGAGGTTTAGGGAGAAATCATGGAGTATTTCCTGCCAATCAGTAACGCTTTTGGGCGCCTTCCCTTATGTCGATTTTGTGGCCATTACATAATCTCTTAGCGCCACAGATCGGCCCCCCCTCCTCCCCCTTCCCCCCCGGGCGCCAATTTGACGTTAGGCGTACGAAAATCGACATAATGTCTTCCATAAAAATCTTGAAGGTGCATCGCACTACTAGGTAATGTTGTTGAGCCATCCTGGGATCGAACAAGGATTGACGCCAAGAGGTTGGAGAGGGGTGGGGATGGGTTGAGCTTAACGTCCATTTGACACTATGCGTACAAAGTTCAGAATAGTGCCTTCCAAAGTGAATGACTCATAGCCAAATATAGGATATCTGATGAGTATTGTGCAGTGCCAATGGCGTCACGACACAGATGTATATGGGAAGATGAAAAAGGCGAAAGGACAACAGAAAATGATTGCATAGTCAGAGGGACGACTGTGCGAAAGGCAGTATAAAGGAACAATCCGATGGTGATATGAATGAGAACGACGGCTCAACTGTGCACATGCATAATTTTTTTTATTTCTTTTTTTATTCTATTTTTTGAATGAGAGCCGGCGACTGGTGAACAATCATTTTTTGGTTCTGGACACGAAACTATGGACCGGTAGCCAGCTGCGACACAAATGTTGTGTCCTTTGTTCAGTGCCTTGGACAGGGCAAACATCGCCACCATGTCATTCGTTCCCGAGGCAGTCAGCAACTAACAGAGCTGACTGCTGTGAGCCAAGACAGCTTCCCTGAGGTCAATGTGCTCGTTCCGGCTCCCTTCCGGTCCCCCAGCACTCGATACCGTCATATGTCGTGCATGTCACACACCACCATTGACCTTCAAAAGGAATTTACAGATTGATTTGCACAAAGGTCACGTAATTCGGCAAGCACAAATCAATCAGGAAAGTCCGCATAAGAAGTCGAATGAGATGCTCATCAACTCTCGCTTCCAGGTGGCAGCCTTCCAGTGGCTGGAGTAGGACACAACCGCCAGTTTCTTCACAGGTGGTTGCCATAGTTGGGAAGGCAAACCCCAGTTGCAATTTCGCATGCTCGTTATACGCATTGGCAAAGCCGCACCTTCAGAACCAATCAGCAGCCAACTTTACCACCATTGTGTCTGTGGAAAAGCGCAAATCCCAACACGTACACCTCCCAACCGCGATAGCAAAACCTTGTGCAACGACAGCCACGACAGGTTGCTTTACATGCGCCGTTATTCATGCAGACATTTTTGACATGGACGACCACTGAGCGCTTCAGAAAGAAGCGTGGAGAATCCACGCTCAACACTGTAAACGAAGAAACATTTGGATGTGCCGAAGGATGTTCTACACGTTATGGGCAGGTTTCCGAGCACGAAATTTTCGAAAATGTATAAGTACAGCCCCCATGCTCGAGAAATTTCTAGACTTTTTTACAAAGGCGTAACAATACGGTGGGGATCACGAACATTTTAAATAACTCCGCCCTCTATTATTCGCCCATCATCTGAAGACCCGTTTGGAGATACTGTCAGTGATGGAGGGGAAGAGGAGGAAGAAGAATATCACTTTCAGCAGCTGAGATCAAGAGGTGTGAGAATCTCGCCGGAGCTGACCATGGAGGAGTAACATCTTGGAGTGCTAGCCAGTGTTGAGGAGGGCCAGCTGCAATGGATGAGAAACTTGATGGCACCTGAGTTTGGTGACGGTCCACACAGGCAGATACGTTCTTGCAAATGTCTTGAATATTGGGCACTCATCCGCGGCCATCAAACTACGGAGGTGACGATCGGGGATGCCAGTAAGCTGGAGGCAATTTCTCCATTTGCTGGCAGGACATCCACTCGAGTCGCTCAGAATCCAACTGCAGACGCAATGCACTGCTGACCGAACCACAAGCCACAAAGAAACACGAACTTCTTCCGCTCCGCTGCTTCATCGTTCCTTTGCATGCACAGCCAGAACAGTGCGCAAATGCTGAAGACCGCTCCACACTGGCGCAGCAGACCATTGCCGTTCCAAAAGAGGGAATACAGTCGGGAGAGCGCACTCACCACTGCGGCCGCGCTGCGGCACAGTGCTCACATAAAAACAGCATCGAGCGTGTCTGCCATGAGCTGTTGAGCTGTTGCGCCCCGCTGCAGAGTGTATTGTCGTCAGTGTTGGTCACAAATGCCTAGACTATGCGCAACTCCGAGTTCGGGTACCCTGCATCAGCTTTATGCCGGTCGTAGAGGTCCTGCATGCTCGTGATGAATGCGTCCAGGAATTTTTGCACCTGAAGAACAGTGTTTGGTAATTAGGCACAAGGAGTGAATGACTTGCGAGACGTCCATTCAGGTATATGCCCGTGATTCACTCAGAGAACAGTGTGCACGGAGCTGGATTCTCGCAAACCATCACAAAAACAAAGTCAATTGTGACGGGCTCTGCCTTGAAGCTCCGACACCGCTCAAACACCAACAAACGCGGCATAACATGTTGTTGTCGTTCAATATTAAATTCAGACCAAGGTGCACACATCTATATACGGCTGGTATTGTTGACATTGATAGTGTATATCGCCGAAAAACTCAACACTACCAGTGTTGACCACAGTTCACCAAGAGAGCAAATACACACATCACTGCACACTGATGAAGAAGGTGGGACCGACCAGTGCGGCGAAGTGCATCTGTTTCATGGCCATCCAAGAACTTGGCACTCATAGTCAGCAAGCCGCTTACTACTTCTCGGCTCGGAGAATCGTCATGTGGCACATCGATTGGTCGACCCACTGCCACAGTAATCCTCGTCTTCTTTGGGAAAGGTGTGCCCCAATGTCCTGAAAGATAGACGGGCGCAAACCCTGCAAGAACAAGTTACAGCAGTACCCATTGATTGGCAGCATTGTCAGCAACTGCCTTTTCGAGGGGATGTTTTATCGAAAAAGAAGCCAAACTGTTCATTTCGATTGGCTTGGCGTCCTTACTTTAGATGCCGTTATGTGAAACTTGGCTCAGGTCGTCACAGTGCAAGATCTGGTGCACAGCAAAGAATGTGCCAACACAAGAAGGCACATTTGTATGCCTGTGCACACCACATTGCACGATCGGATGTGAGCCATGCAGTATCTTGACAGATTTAAAGAATATCAGAACCTGTCTGCAGACATTCAGCCCATATGTCATGTTGTTTCCAGCTGCGCATGAGCAGGGACTTTTACAGCCAAGGCTGGGAGGAGGTGTGGCATTTCTCACCTATCGTCCTTGATAAAGAATCCATCAGGCTCTTCGGCAACACTGGTGGTCCAATTCTGCCAAAACACAACTGTGTAAGATCCATTCTTATTGTCGTATTGGCGCATCTGTTGCTGACATAGGTGATGTCACAGCAGTCACTATATTCCACCACACAAAGATGTATCGGACGACAAAGAGTGTCGAATGAACATCCCAGTGCTACACGGATTTCCTGTATCAAGTGAACTGGTGACAGAGGAACGAGTGGGTAGAATGCGCACACCTGATGCAGTCATTGCTTCATGTTATGGTAGTGCACCTCAGGGAGAGGAAACACAAAACATGAGCGCCAAGCACAGGTACAATTAATCTATCAGCCTTCAAATTACATCAAAGGAACTGAACAGCATGTGATCGCTGCTTCTTTGGGGATCCCAGGCACGAACAGCAATAACGTGTTGTCCATAAAGCTGAGGGTGCTTCCCAAGTGTCAAACTGTATTGAAAAGCACAGGCTTTCATTTCTGCACGCTCACATCCATCACAGCCGGCTGGCCAATATTCAGTGTTGGTAAGTTGAGACCTATGCTTACACCACAGCCATAGGTCGTATGCTGAATCCAATGGTGACCAAGCCAGCATCGCTGCACCCCTGGTCCCCATAAGCTGTCAGGAATGCACCATGCAGTGCAGCCAGAATCTTGTGTGGCTAGTGAGCTATCAGCTGACAATGCTTCCTTGTGCAGCCCTATTCAGTTGGGAAACCACTGAACCAGTTCAGCACGATGTCTTGTAGTTCAGGATATCTGGTCTGTTCCTGGCATTGCTCTGAATGTTGTGTGAGGCGCATCCCAAAGTCTACAGCATGATAAGATGCTTTGGTGCATGTAAGCCATACTAACCTCTTAATTGCATAGGCATTGGTCTGTCCAATGGCGACGACCGGTACGAGTGGGGTGCCATGCTGAATTGCCAGCTTCACAAACCCGTGACGCTGCCTAAGAAATGCAACTTCACTGCCTGGTTTCATGTATTCAAGCTCCCGCACTCCACCCGGCACCAGCGAGCAGCCTTGCCCTGATGCCAGCAAGCTGGACATTGACTGCCTGGAGACAGGCCGGGCGCCCAGCCACCACCACATGTGGCGAACCAGAGGGGTCCAGAAAACCTGCCCAAGTGGTCAACAAGCATCTGGTCAATACCCAAAGGTACTTTGTGTGACCTTTGCAATTGCCCATTCACTTCATATGACAAGTCTTCTTGCAATACCGATTGTGTTTTTGCTTAAAGCAGTGGGCCCATGCACAACAAAATCTGCCAGTGGTGCATTTTGCATGGCATGCAGCAACAGAATCGCAATTGCAGTGAGGGTTTCTCAACTGACCACAGCAACAACACGAAACAGGCATGGCCATCAATACAAAACTTTTTCCATGCAGTCGAAGCAATCCCATATTATGGTTCAGATAACGCCAGCCTACAAAAGAGCCCAATGGTGCACACCAGCCCTTGGCAAAATGTACAAAACCTGCCTATAGCAAGCAATGTGAATTCAAGGCTGCACAAGCAAACATTATTGCATTGCAATGCTAACCAACAAGGTCCCAAGGGTGTGCTACGAGTTTCTTCCTTACCATTGAGGTTGCCAACATGGGGACGCCCTTTAGAGCCTTTGGTGCCACTCTGGAGTAGCCACTGAACACAAGTGGCTGTACGACAGGAAGAGCTGAGTGAGGTTCATACCCTGCAAACAGAGGGACACACTGGATGCTGCCAGGAGACACATGTGCCCAAAAAATGGCTGGCTGCCTCAGGCCTTGGGGGGATATGTCTGTTTTTACTAGCTTTGATAGATTGGCCATCTTTGATAACAAAACAAACTTGAAGCTGTGGAATTCATGGCTCTCAAAACACACAGAGGCCATTCGATCAGAGCAAGCAAAGTCCCAGAACCTGTTCAATTCTTCCTTCCTTTTGGCATGGAAGCATGCATACCATATGGCATATGCAGGCATTTGTGTATCACAAATGACGCTCAACATAGTAACAACAGCACATCACGTTATCATGGTGTGCACAAGAGAGACCAGCTACCAAAAATAAGGTATGTGCAGATGGCTGGTCAGGATGTCCTCTGCTCACCACACTAATGAATGCTTATCTGGAGAATTTGTGCACTGGACCTTCTTTTCGTATCTATAGACATGCCCTGGTGGGTTGGCATCACTCATACACTTGCATTTCTCTTGTCAGCAGTTTTCAGTTGTGGACCCTGATATTGTAGCCAAAATAAAAGCATGAAGAACACAATCTCATGGGCATGCGATGCAGTGGTGCGTCCATGGGTTGGTATCCCCAACTGTCAGCAGCTGCCTGATGCTGTTGTGCACTCACCGAAAATGTAGGATTTCTCTGGTTTCAGAGTTGCACCGTCATCCATTATCACTCGCAGTGAATAAAACTTAGCGCATGCTACTGTGCTAGCGGCAACAAGCTGCTTGCCCCATGCAGGAGTCGTTTTCCCAATTGGAATTACCATGAAGACGACCTGCAGCAACAACCCCAGCGACGACACCCCTTCACCAAACAGACAACGCAAGGCATCGTCTCGTTGCAGATACTGCAGATCTCACACTGGCCATTGCCATCTTGTAGCAGTCCAGGGGTCCTTCACATTTTCAGGCTGCTGGGGAGTGTATGCGGCACTTTCTCACCATGTCTCGTCCATGGGCAAATCACTGAGTCAATGCAAGCCATGCAAGGGCGCCCACTATAGCCTATTGGAACAACAATCGACACGCCTTCAGTGGCCATACCATGGCATATGGGATACTTCTGACGGCGCTTCAATGCACAGCCATGGACATCAGAATTCGGGAGCTGTCTTGCCAACAGGCTATGGCCCCTATAATTCCAGCACTGGAAGATGGGCACACTAGTGATAAATCCAAACACGTCCATTTCTGCACCTACCGCCCCACCTATGCCGATGAGGCGGTTACTCACAAAGAGGGTCGTCAGAACGGCTCCGGTCTTTGGGAACAGGGCCAGACACGCCAGGGCCGTCAACAGCCACGCCCCAACGAACATCACCGTCCCAACCCAGACGCCCACGAGAAACATGTCTTTGATGTCGATCAGCAGGCCTCGCGGGCCTCTGGGGGTGGCCTTCGCCATCGCGTGGATCCACGGCTAGCTGCACGAGGTTGTACTGGAAGCTCCTCCTGTGCCCCGGGCCACAGGACCAGCAGCAGGGGGCGAGGTGAGCTAGGTGCCCTTCAGCCGTTCCGTTTGCCTTTACGCCGCAGGGCAAACCCAGGCAAGCCGCGTGCGGGGCACCTTCCTGGAGTTTCCTGCTTACTTCGTCATCCCCAAAGAATGTGGAGGAAGAGACGGCAGTGCCGTTTTCCAACGCGCCAATGAAGCACATCAGAAGAATGAACAGTTCATTAGAACAGTTCCAATTCCATGCCCGTGTAGTTCCAATCCATTCCCATGTAGCTCAGGTCCATGAACAGATCAAAGTTGATAAGAGAAACATTGGAACCGGGCCCTGTTGGGCACCTGTCATTGTGCAAAGGAAGCCCTTAAAATGAGACAAACCAAAAGAAAGCGCCAGCAACTCCGCCAAGAAGAATGCAGTTCTGTCCTGATGACTACAGATCCCCAAATGGGGCGAAATCAGCGTGCAAGGTTATCCCAGAATGACAGCCATGCTCCACAACAAGGAAGTGAACGAACAATTTGTTGGCTGGAGGGAGGAGCCGACAGGGTCTAATCCACACAACGCAGTCTGCCTGTGCGAGATTTGTATGTTAGCACGTTTTTGGCTGTCTGTTCCCTGGACCTGGGAAGCGAGCACCGGAACATGGCGAGCGGAAAACACGCAAAGTCGCCGGACTAGAAACTGACCTGAATTGCAACTGTGGTCTAGTTGAAGCCTTTGAGGTTCCCAGAATCGACGTATCAACAAAAGAGGCCCCATAACAATTCCGAAAATATGGAAGTCGGACCTTGGGCCCGACGTTCTGCACTTTTTCATTCCTGTGCTATCTACTCAAAGCCACTGACTCACCGGCAAGGCTGGGCTACGCTGTTGTGCTGTTGATGATCTCCATTCCCTGTCGATTTGCTCCACACACTCTTCGCTATGTTATGGAAGACCAGTTTGTGTATTCGTTCAACGAGTTATGTTCATCTCAAGGTAACAGCCGCAGCGACGTGGCCTCTGACGCCGCAGGCGGGTACGGATGCAAGACGTACTGCAGCCTCTGTCATTGGCTTCTGCTGCGTGTCTTGAGTTGAGACACCCCGATAGCTGCACAACAACAGTCATTCCCGCCTTCACTTGGAGCACAGGCTCGCCCGGCGACTCCAGGCCTCCTTCGTCTGCAGGGGCAACGCAGGCCCACAAACCTCCGCGGCGGGAGGCCAACGCTCGAATGTGTGGCAGAGCTCGCTGCTCCCTGGCCCCCGAGGACGTCGCCAAGAATGCCCGCGTGGAAGGCGACAGGTGGCGCGACCGCGAGAAGTACAGGCCCAGCTACAACGTGGGCCCAGGGCGTTGGCTGCCTATCGTGAAGCATGCGGCCGACGGTGGGCGGGAGCTGCAGACCATGAAGTGAGGGCGGTCGGTTTGGACGGTGTGCACTTTGCCGGTGGAGTTGTCGCGTCACGCGCCATTTGCGGGATTGCGTATCCGCGGATGGTTTTCAGGGGCGCGAGAGGGAGGGAATTGCGCGTAAGATAGCGACGAATCCAAACAGTCGTATTGGGTCGTTTGAATGGCGACTGGCGCGGGTGTTCTTTGTACGGAAAGGCGAATGTGCTGACACGGCGGAGGCCTTGCTCTTTCCAGACAAAATAATCCTGAAGGAGGCTGCCTTGAATTCTGCAAGTGAGCAGAGCATGTTATCAGGATTTCGTCGTTGCAATGGGGTCTACAACGCGTTTGAAGCAATGCAGGGCCACGCTACCTTGCCCCTTGTTCCGTTCCTTCTTGGTTTCACACCGACTGTTGCCAGATATGCATTTAGCAAGGGAATGCTAATGAGTTGTGATATTGTCTTAGATGGCAATGCCGCCAATCTATTTGTGCGAGTGGAACTGGTGTTTTGAAGAATGATTGGAAAGAGCAGACAATATGGTCATGCAACAGGTGTACCCTTCCCAGCAAACATTTAGGCACTGTATTCCCTGGGAAAAGGCCAGCCGAAAGCACAACTGCGTCGAGGTAGAGGCACAGGAAAATGTGGGCAAGCAAGCTAATATTTGGCGCGGTAGGGGGGTTTGGGGGCGGGGGGGGAGGGGCATTTGGAGTTGTCCCATCATCACTGACACTATCTTGGTGTACTCCAGGTGGGGCCTTGTGCCCAGTTTCACACAAAAGGGTTCATTACCCGATCATTTTCGCATGTTCAATGCTCGTTCAGAGACAATTGTGGAGAAGCCTGTATTCAACAGGCTGTTGAGCTCAAAGCGCTGTGTTGTGGTCGTCAATGGCTTCTATGAATGGCATGGAGATGGACAGCAGAAGCAACCCTTCTATGTCAGCCTTGGGAATGCCGAGGATGTCATGATGTTTGCTGGATTGTACGACTGTTGGGAAGGTGGGTATGAAGAAGCAACTGGGCATCATTGAAGCACAGATCTGGGTGATGGTTTGCAAAAGATATGACCCTGACATGGCCCCAGAATGGGATGGAACAGTTGCACATTGTTGAATATCTACACCTTATCAACTCTTCTTCATCCTAAGGGATGTATGGCCATACATTTGCTTTGCATTTGAGTATGTGTATTGGTCGGATTTGCCTATTCACACAAGGTGCTGAGCTTTCATTTCATGCAAGGCACATCAGGGCAACTCTGGCCACTTCCATTTTATACTTCCTCTGTCCGGAATTAATTGTCCTCTATTTGAGAGACAAAATTCGTTATAAAGGACACCTTAAATTTACCAAAGAACATCATAATCGGAAAGATTGGGCTGCAAAACCCTTAACTACCAATTTTCAAGAAAAAAATAATTAGTCCCACCCCCTCTGGATGGGCCCCCAAATTGGCCGAAAATCGTCCAAAAAGTGTGCGTGCAGATTCCGCATCCGCATGAGATCCGCACGTTTCTGGGTCACCCCCGTCCTTGGTGCGCCAAATATTAAGCCGTTGTTGTCTTTGCGGTGAAGGGTGGTGTCCCTTACATGGAATAGCGCTTGCCAAACACGTGCGAGCGTGTTTGGATCCCCATCGTGGAAATCCATCAATGCAATTTTGATGATTTCTGAAATCTCGGCCATCGTCGATCTTTGGCATGCATACGTAAGGCAAGCGGACAAGGCTAGGGTCCAGGGTATTCAAGATTGGGCTATGTGCAAGCTATTGTTCTAAGGTTATGCAATAGACTTGCTTGGACAATTTGCCTCGATTGAGGCTTGAATCGTTGTTTTTGTGGACAACCTGGCCCACACCCCATAAACTGCCACGATCTGCCAATTCTTGCATGCAATCCGCAATCCGTCGCAGCTCAGCAAGTGCATTTCCCTTTGAGAGACATGGTTTTATCTATCTAGCTAGTCTTCTCAAGCTCAAGCCCTTCAAGTGCCAAAAAATGGTCGATTCACTATTCCTATCCAGGAGGACCACTGCCTAATTGCACCCTAATTGCCCCCTAATTGTCCCCCGCTGAATGGGGTGATGGCCACCACCTTCTTAAAGGTGCAAGAGGAATTCGGGAGGCCTCCTGCAGTATCCCTCATAGTGGAGTTGGAGGTCCAAAAGTCGTGGTTCAGAAATTTGGACCTGATGGGCATCTCTGATTTGGCCAATCGAGCTTGAATTGCAGCCGCAAGACACGGGCGACCTCCACGATCAGGACTTTCAAGACACATTTTCTGCTGCCCTTTTCCTTTGCAAACACCTCCATGATCTTCTGTCTAAATGGCGTGGATAGTTTTGTCCCGGCCGCTCTGTGGCGCTGCCGCAAAGGCGTGCTCCTCAAAACAGCGAAAATGGCCATTCCAACAGGGATGTTGAAAACTGGTGGGTTTTTGGCTGGATGACCCCTGCTGCAAAGTGCTGCCAAATCCGCAATACTCAACGGATTGACCTAAAGTTTTGACTGCATACTCTTAAAACATAGGCGTAGTTTTGCAAGGAATTTGAATGAGAAATGAAGTCCCTACGATGGAGAAGTAAGGCGCCAAAGTCATAGAGGACAATTAACTCCGGACGGAGGAAGTACATTGGTAGCATTTCAGGATGCCATCTTCAAATCGAGCCGCTTAAAAAGTGAACGAAGCACAGGCGCACATAGGTGGTTGCCAGGGCTAGACGTTCTTGGATGTCCAGGCTGTTGAGGGTGCAGTGCCAGTACATGAGGAAAGTCCTCAAGAATGTGACACAGCAATATTCTTTCACCTACTGTGTGATGTCAGGTTGTGTTTGCGGACACCAGTTGTGTTCGTCGACGAGTTGTTGTTGTTCCCCACTGATATCTGAAAGAAGAGTTGACATTTTGAGGCTCAGGGATCTGATGGGATCGTAGTGCCAGAAAAGTGTGCAACTTCCCTCCCAACCTTTTCCTGGACTGAACTGACAGTCAACAGGAATCACAGACAGGAGCTGGATTGATGACCTTGTTATTGAGCACCCATTGTGGTCCCATGGGCCTCGTGGCCCCAGAGGCAGAATGCCTTGGGCATGACAATCGTCCCTTTTTAGGGAACAAACACATCACTGTCCCTGTTGCCCTTCATTGGCACGTGCATGCAAACACAGAGCTTGCCATACTTCAACAAATGTAGTCAAACAGATTGCCTCCTTCCCTTTCTACACCTCTGCTTTTCTGAATTCAGAAGCTGTTGGTAGTGGTGCTGGCCAGTGGCAAAAATTTCGTTGACAGCCTGTGCCATAGTTCAGGTGGCGATGGCGACAGTCTCCACACATTTGCGATCGTGACAACAGACTCCAGCAAAAGGCTAAGTTGGCTGCATGGCCGAATGCCAGTAGTGCTCCGGACCCTGGATGCGATCGACGAGTGGCTTGATCCCTCGTTTGGAGCAGCTTTTCTTTCCAAGTTGTGTGTTCCATACAATGGGAGGGACTTGGCCTGGCATCCTGTGACACACAGCATCGGCAAGCTGGGCTTCGACGGCCCTGAGTGTTGCAAGGACACAAGGAAGAAAGGCATTGGCTCCTTTTTCAAGCACAAGGTGTCCATGGCCAGTGGTGCAGAAGAAAAAGGGCAGAAGGAGAGCATGCCTGCCACTAGGGAGCTGCAATCCAAGCTGAGCAGCCTGAAGACAGAAAATGTTGGCAAGGTGGAAACTTCCAGTTCTACAAAACTGGCAAAGCAATCTTTGTCTGATGGGTTGGACCAAGTGAGGGAGGAGGCCTCTCAGAAAGGCCCTCCTGTGAAACCAGAGCAGGAAATCATGGAGGGGGTTGAGGATGCGCCCCAGGCTGGTGTAAGTAATAGGGAGGAGGTTGAGGCAGGGAAGGGAGCACATGCGCAGGGTCAGACGTCCAAGAGGGGTCGTGACAATGCTGGGATGCTCAGGGCCGTCCCAAAAACGCCCCCATCCTCTCCAGTCTCTCCTTCCAGCAAACGCCAGAGGGGCTCAAACAACATGACAATAACTTCATTTTTTTCCAGGAGGTAACATGTCTACCTGGATGCCATTCGGCTCTCAGAAGGTTGTTCGTTGCAAGTGCGTGACATGCAGGCTGACGTGGGCGTTTTGCTTAACAGTGCTTTTGACAATGCACTTCATGTAAAGAATATCTAATATTGGCACCTTTTTCCGATCATGGTTTGGTGTGATGGAAGGGTGAGTTTGGGATAAAGTGATTCAGGTGAGGAACTGGCCGATACGCAGCTCTGCAACTCCTGCCTTGTCAAGTTGGCAGCGATATTTTCTTGCCATGCTTCCTTACGTGCGAGCAGGCGTTGTAGAACCTGTGTCAGTAAATGGTGGAGCTTCTCTAAACCCACACTCTCCTTTATACGCCAGGGCAACCCTTCAGGTTGAATGGCAAGCCCATCTCAGTGACAGTAAGTATATTGCACGATTTACAGGGCACTTCTGCCACTCATTCCTACAACGTGTGCATGCAAGGATCTACAAAGATAGGCTCCCTCAACCTCAATGAAAGACCCTGTCACACTGGACACCTCGCCACCCAATTATTGCCCAAAACCTTGGCTAAGTTCAATCCCTTGCACTGGTCACTTCTCCAGTTCCTTCAGGTAATCACTGGTTCATTCTCATTCCTTTACCTCTGTTGCTTGCAGACAGTCGTTCAATTGACACTCCAAGGACACCCTTATTGATCAACACGTCGCAGAAACACTCTACACCCCCAAGCGATCAACCCAATGTCCTTTCAGACACAAGGCCATGTGTTCATGGATGTGTATGGTAGTTATGATAACTAGATTTGATAGCTCTGTTATGTGACAAAGGTGATCACCCTGTGAAGAGTCAATTGCGCGTGCTCCTAACTTCATGAGATACATTCTTCAGTCCCTTCATCTACTCCTTGACTTCAACATGGTGGACCTGTATCACAATCAACAATTGGTATCTGTACATCAGCATGATTGTGGGCCTTGTCTGTCTGGTCTATGCAGCCTATACCTGGAGCACCGAAGACAATTAAAAACACACCCATCTTGGAACAAGACATTTGACGAAAGGGAGCTGAAATGTGCTCACTGTTTACACAGATTCTGGATAAATCTTGTACTCGCTATTTGACAGGCCAAAACACTAACAAACAGTGTTGGAACGTTACTTTCTATGTTTCCCTTGCCCCACAATATTGTCAGCAACACAAACATAGAAACACTCTCCCTCTGTTGCAGTGGCTGTCAGCTCGTGCTCGCAAATTACCATTGCATATGCCAGCACTGCCAGCTTGCTTACCGCAGCAGCGTGCTGCCCGTGAAAGAGTGCTCAGTGTGTGCTTCAGCACGTGCCACACAGCCAGCAAAGAGGAAGCACTGGAGGACCCTGAAACGTTGGTAAGCTCCCTTGCTGACGCTGCAGCTGATTACTGGGTGAATCTGTCAAGTATGCACTGTCTACTGTGACGCCATGGGCCAGTGCAATCACTACAGAGCTACACTTGTTTCAGATGCATTAGCGGTTTGGTACCACTGAAAAGAAGTTAAGAAGGGCAGAACAGAACAACAGATGCCAGGCAAGGGGAGCCTGCCCCCTGTACCCCAATTACGGTCAAGATTGTTCGCAGAAAATGGGCATCCGCTATTCTCTGCTCGCCCGAATTTGCGCTCGTTCATTCTGAGGCTCCTTTACATATGGTGCATTCGCAGCAGTATCCTTACCAATACAAGTGGGCAGTAACGACGCAATGCGCGAGGCACATGGAGTTGCTGAAACCCTGGAAAGAGGTCGCGGAGGAATCCGGGGGAGGATACACGTCCCCGAGCAGAACACCCCGCGGCCCCGCGGTCTAGCCCGATTGTTGGCGTTGAACGGTGGAAAGGGCGGGGAATGATCTTGGTCAGGAAAGATTGGGAGAAGTGGCAAAGTGAAAGCACCCCGCTGAAAGGAGTGCGCCGAAAGCATGAAATCACCCGGTCAGATGAGCCTGTCTTCCATTAGGACAGCAGCACATTCCTCCGCGGCATTGAACCCGGGACATACCAGCGTGGCTTCCATTCCATCGCCAACGACGCCGATCGCTACCGAAATCGAGCGCCCACAACAGAATCAGCGTCGTGCGCGGGTTCACAGCTTGACAAGGCATCTGGATTGCGCCCAGTGTTTCAGCAAGACAGGACATCCCGTTTTCAAAGCCCGCGGCGTGGCGCGGGCAGGCATACCTCACAATGCCAATTCCAAGCCAAAAGACACAAGTGGCAGCTTTCTACCGCCCAACCGCCTGCTTCGGACGGCGTGTGCCAGTCTGGCCGCAACGGCGACACCGACAACGGCGAAGCCGAGCATCTTTGCTGACAGTGGACGCCTTAGCGATTCAGTGTGATAAGGTTGTTGCCAACACTCCTGGCTTTGACGGTGTGTGCCAGTCCGCGCCCCACCATCGCACGCACTGGTCGAGAGGCCTGCCCGTCAATGACAGTGTCCGTAATCCAATCGATTAGTAATTTGTCCACGCAGCAGAAGAAAGAAAGAGTCCTCTTTCCCTAGCGATTCTAAACACCCCGAACCCACCATCATCCCCCTGTGTACTCCTCTAGAGGAAGCACACCCAAGAAAAACAGCAAAGAAAACTAGAGGAACTTTTGACAGGCCTCATTGTTGGAAAGCGATACATTCGTATCGCTTGCAAGCAACGCCCATGAGTACTTTCGTAGCCAAGAGCGAAATGCCCAGTGTAATGGGCCCAGCAATGCAATCGAGCACTTTTTGGCCCTTTGTGCTCTTTGCGGTACCACCTGCCTACAACGCCGGCACTGCGTCGGGCGCGCAACCCGGAAAGCGTGCAGCTGCAGGCATCCCTTGACCTCCCCCGACGCCGGCCAAGGCACAAAGTATCTCACCAGCACGCGCTTCCAGCCTCTGAACAGCCCACAGAGCCTGGGACCAACCGTCAGCGACCTGGGGCGGGCGTGGCCCCCCGTCGGGAGGCGGCGGTCGCGATGCCCGGGATCCAGAAGCGCGTCATTCTGTGGACGTGCCCAAGGAGCCTGTCCACCGCATTCCTGCGCTCCATCGCCACCCTCCCCAACGCCCAGGTCTTCCACGAGCTCTTCAGCACGGTCCATTACTACGCCAGCGATGAGCGGCGTCCCAAGAATGACGACGGCGGCACGGCGCCGCCGCCGTTCGACCCCACCATGAAGGCCGCCGCGGGCATCCTAAAGGCCAACTACCCCGACAAGGACGCTGTGTTCGCCAAGGAGATGGCGTACTGCGTGGAGGGGCAGCTGGAGGCGCTGGAGGCGGAGGGGATCTTCGGCCCCGACTCCGGGTTCGTGCACAGCTTCCTGATCCGCAGCGCCGACAGGGCCGTGTACTCGCTGTACAAGGCGTCCGTTGACGAGCGGCTGACGGGCTGGTCGAGCTTCGACCCCTCCGAGGCGGGATTCCGCCAGCTGCGCGAGCTGTACGACTTTGTCAAGGATCGTTCCGCCGGCGCCCCTGTCGTGATCGACGCGGACGACCTGCAGAGCGCGCCCGAAGAGACGATGCGGAGCTACTGCGACGCGGTGGGGATTGGGTACAAGGAGGGCATGACGAGATGGGAGCCGGGTCCGGTGCCGGGAAGCATTTGGGAGGGGTGGCACGAGGAGGTGGAGAAGTCGTCGGGCATCATACGGGTGGACGCTGCGGCGCGGAAGGCCGTGCCCACGGGCGACCTGCCGCCGGAGGTGCTGCGCTGCATCGAGGCGTGCATGCCACACTACGCCCTGCTGCAAGAAGCGCGGATTCTGCCACGGCTGGGGCGAACCTAAACGCGATCTTGTGGTCGGTGGGGCGTGAGCGGCGTGCTCGCCACGGGATCACGGGAGCGATCACGGGATCACGTGGAGGCGACTTGCGCCACAGAGAATTGATAACAATGTGTCGATCAATTGCCCGAGCTCATGGCTGAGATCCCCCAAATGATCCTGGCGCATGTGCGCAGGCAGCACCCCAGGCGAAGCGAAAGGCAGAGATGGGTACTGTGACTTACCAGGTTGTGGCTACTAGCTTACTTTGGAACCTTGATCCAAGATGTGATCAGCGAATTTGTTGAAGTCATGATCCCAGGAAACGTGAAAAAAGATGGAAAACGCAGAACATCTCACACAGGCAAGAAGATCACCAAAGACAAGCTGCAAAGCTACCCACATATCGGCAACTGTGCAGTACCGCAGCGTTGAAAACTCCATACTGCCATTGGCAGCACATAAGGACAGCAGTGCCTCGATCTGCGTTGTGTGAACCAGCCCCGAGGGCGAAAAGGAGGCCGACGAGGCCGGGGTCCTATTGTGCAATTCGATAGGCACGGTTGTCGAGGAGGTTGGCTTTGGAGGCCCCCTCCAGCTGAGCATTTCGCTTCCTCTCATCAATATGCTTGGCTCAAGATGAATCCAACCAGCCCCCTGAGGGTCTGGAGGTGCATAATGGCACCGGTTAATTCAACACAGTCCTGCTCACTCCAAAAGGGATTGTTTGCTGCTGTTGAAGGTTGCACCATGAAATACGGTATGTTCCATATCGTGCACACCGAAGCTGTCGGCCCAAAACATGATCCTTCAGTCGTCGTTCCTCCGCGCCCATTCGCCCGCAACACGCACACCAGCCAGATGGCGCTGGGTCTTCCCGCCCTGCGCTGCAGCCGCCCGGCCGGGGCCCCTGGGGCCCGTCGCGGCCAACCTGCCCGCGCCAGCCGCGGCGCCCTTTCCCGCCGCGCGCCGATCCCGGCATCGCGCCGACTTGTGCCAATTCGCGCCACACCCGGAGGCCCCGAGTCTGAAGAGGACGACGAGGCGCGCTTGGAGGCGCTGGAAGCATCGACGCGAGGGAAGAAGGGCGCGATCGCCGCGGAGGCGGCGCCCAAAGAGGAGGAATCCAGCACCGCGATGTCGCAATGGAAGGAGGGCCAGCTCCTGCCCGACAATTGGGACAAACTGGATGCCGGGCAGAAGGCGTACGAGCTGTATGCGGGGAAGAGGGGCCTGCTGTTTTGGTCGAACCGCCTTGCGCTGGGAGCGGTGGTGGTGATGGGGGTGCTGTGGATCCTGTTCCGGTTTGTGGGGCCCCTCCTGGGGCTGTATGAACTGAAGTCCACGTTCTCGGACGTTCAATATTGAGGCGTGCAGCGGAAGGTGCCACACGGCCTGGATGTGACACGCGCTCCGTGGGGAGCGGATGTGAGCGTGGAAAGGAGGAATCTCTGCGTCAGAATTGGCTTTGCAATTGTGGGAGATCTACAGCACTTTTCTGGTTTGGGGTTCTCCAACGCTGACAGTTTGATGACCTCCCGAAGACTGCCTCGACGAGCGGGATAGGCAGGCTGTGTGGGGAGCTGTGACGCCGCCTGCTGCATGAAGAGAAAACTGGTGAAGGATTTGGGGCATGACAGGAGGCTGGGGAATTTCAGAATCTAAGGCAGCAGAAGGGATGAAGCTAGTGACGATGTATTTGGGGCATCCATCATGGGAGCTGCAGATTGTGTGACATTCAACGTGGACGAACAAACCCTGGGCAGATGTTCAGTAGGACTTGTTGTTGGCTTGCCCTTGCCAGACCGTGTGCAGTGTGTTTAATATGGAAACCAGATATTGGGCGCCAAGATTAAGGGATCCATTGACCTCCCAAAGTGAAGCCCAGTATTTATTTGCTGTACAGTGTTGCAACGAATATAGACATTAGGCTTGGTCCAGCTTTTGCCATGGCGTGACTGCTCATGATGAGTTACACATATATCCTAAGGGTCACAATCCTGTGGTCGATTCGGCATTGCATACTTTCTGTCCACACAATTGATTATGCCGCAGGCATAGTTGTGGCATGCGGGTTGAATTTTTGCAGAAAAGCATCGCCTCCACACGTTCGTTCCTTGCTGGACCAGCCTTGAACAAATGGGCCATGCGACGGGCTTGGTCAATCTGGTTTGCGTCGCCCTCTGTAGGGTTAGGTGTGGTGATCAGCCTCTTGGAGAGTGTGGGCAAGAACATACACCCGTTCGCCATCGCCGCAGGATGGGCGTCACTGCATGACGACCGTATCAACAGCGCGGGAATTTGCCATTTTGCGTTTCCTCGAATGCCCCTGCCCTTCCCCCCTTCCAAGAAAGAATTCGGTCAACTGTACCAACAAATCTGTTGGAACTGCCGTTCAAGCGGGTCTGCGACGGGCCTAACCTAAAACCAACCCGATCCGCGGTCCTGCGATAGGGGCTTTGCGGAACTCGTTTCGAAAGCGCCCAATACCCAGAACAGGGGTTGCCGGCACATCCACAGCTCCCTGCAGGCTTTACGCCGGGGGCAACACCACGCTTAGTCCCTCCTACCGGATAAGGTCCGAGCCACCGATGGTGTCCGGATGGTCCGTGCTCGCCGCGATGGCGATCGGCGGCCTCTCTGCGGCTCTTCAAGTCGGTGCGAGGGAGATGCTGGAGGGCGTGGCACCCAGCCTCTGCACGGACGACGTGCCCGACTGCAAGGAGTGGGCGGCGTCCTCTGCATGCCTGGAGAACCCGTTTTACACACGGGAGCATTGCGCCAAGTCGTGCGGAGTGGGCGCCTGCGCCCGCAGCGTCAAGGTCGTCAAGACACCGACTATATCAAATTCATTTCAGCTCAGGAGCCTCAACCTTCGTGATTGCGCTGAGGGTGGCTGACGTACCCTCTGTGTATAGGGAGGACGAATTGGAGGTTATGCAACGATGGCTGCAACTCGACAATATGCCACACAGTTCTATGGAACTCGCGATGTTGCAGACGGGCACTTCAGATGGGATGTTTCCATGGGGGATTATGCAATAGAAGGTCAGTATGGACCAGTGGGCATACACCTGTTCTGAATTCGAGGGCGTCTTTGGCAGTTAGTGGACGTTAATGATGCTTGCGATGTGAAACGCTGTGTGGACATGGAGCAACAGTTCTGCTTGAGAACAGCAGATCAGGCTCTTCAGATTTTAGTGATGGTGAAGCTCTCCCACTGTAACTGAAGCACACCCAACAGGCAGCAAGGTGAAGAACAAGATGGAAAGTAGCGGGTGTCCCCAGATAGGGAACCATTCTGCGCATCACTGCACAACTGAGTCGCAGCAGCATCCCCCTGCCAAGAGCCCGAGCGGTGGTGCGCTGTGTGTGTCCTGCATCGTATTTATACTACCGCCATTCCAAAAGTATGGTCGCTTCCCTAATCTTTGCTTAATTTTTGGGGGATTAACTCAATTAGTCCATCTGGCACCAGATTCGGATTCTTTTGTCGATTTTGGGTTGATGTAGATCTTGGTTGTATTATCATCGCCAAATAGCAAGAAATTAACGCCCCATCAAAAGCATCCCTGTCCATCTCTGTCAGTGCCTCAATTCTTGGCAGTATTGTGCTCACGTTGTCCCCATGTATGCCAGCCTATTTCCCCGATATTATTGAAGAACCTTGTTGTTGGGAATAAATGGGCACTGCTATAGCCTTTCAAGAGTTTTGGCATCATTGCAACCATACTCTTTGTGGACTATCTCTTCCGCTATGCTGACTAACATCTTCGAAATTTTCAATTCCAACGATTGGCAACGGTGGCATCAATTCATGCCGTTTTGGAGTTAATGTCAGCATGCACAGCCTTCCTAAGCTTGGTGTGTCAGCTAGGACAATGCTCTTCCGCAAACCAAGGTGTCTCTTTCGGCTTTGACCACAACATACACAAAACTCTTCTGACACCCAAAATCTACAGCAATCCCACATCGTTTGCCCTGCGGATTCTGCTTTGGGCTTAGCCGAACCTTCAAATGCATACCCAACCACCAGGTCAATCATCTTTCCTAGAGACAGCTCAGCTCGATTAACCTCCTTTTAAGGGCGTGACAAGTTCGCCATGCTCCTCTTGAGGTATCGGCCAAACGCAAAGTCGCATTTCAGCTCCTCCTCATGTATCTCAAGAACATCGGTGCCATTTGCTATGTTTGAGGGCTTTACGAATATCTCTGAATGAGACGCATCGAAGTTGTTTTGGTTGAACTTTCTGACTCGCACATTTTGATGTTCGTTTGCTCGAATTAGTGAAGTGACAATACTATTGAAACATAGGTAGTAGATGGTTATTGCTCAAGGGAAACTGGCAACGCTTTTCAAGGTTTCATGATTGTACTCATTGTGGAATTTAGACAACTGTTGGAGCTGCCTATGTGTAGATTGCATTGGTCAAGAATGCTGTGTCTATTAGGACAGAAGCTGAGGGGTGACCCATGGCTGATGTTGAGCTCCCTTGGTGTGGGGACATACCTTGGAGCAGAAGATGAGCAGACAGACAAGGATGTGACGGCGGCGATTCTGCAGTCCTTGTCAAGAGGATGGAATGTCATTGACACAGGTGAATGCAGTGATGTGTGCTAGTGTTCCTTGTGTTCTCATGGCCATGCGGCCCTGATCAGGGGTCCAAAAGATGTCTTCAAGATATTAGGTGTCTAACTGCTGCAACTGACTTGTCTCCGTCTCCCCTGGCTTGCCCGTACCTTAGGGGGGGGTCCCCTGTTTATGATCTTTATCTTGTTTCTGTTAAAAATTTTCCACCCACCCCAACCCACCCCCCACCCCACCCACCAACCCAAGCACCAGTTGGTGCTTGATCTTCAGTGACACACTATGATTCTAGCCCATTTTCTCACGTCGTTTCCATTGAAGACAAGACGCTTGCCATCGTCTCAATATTTGCCTCCTGCGCACCTGCATGTCCCTTCGATTAGGCATCACAGCGCCAGAAGAGATAAGGGCCTTGGTTTCAGGGTGCCAATGTGGTTGCTTGGTCCCCCATATGGTCCATTGAGCGGCGTATACAGTGTCCCATTGTGCCCAAGTTCTGAGCTGCACAAATCCTGACACTGCAATTTCTGACAGACAGTTTCTCCTGCACACCGGCACTGCCTTGCTCCACTGAACATGGTGTGCTGAGTGCATTTGAGAAGACGTACCTCTGATTCATAGAGCTATGGGAGAGTTTGCGGGCTCTACTGCCTCGGCCATTGGAAGTCTGGCAGTTTCGGAGTGTAAAGACACCCAGTAGTGCGCAGGAAAACATTTTGGCTCAGTTCCTGGCAGAATTCGATTAATTGGGAAGCTTTTCTTTGGTCTGCAAGTATGAGGGACCCTCTCTTGCTATGAACAACCTGCAGAAAAGCCATCAGTGTTTCGACACAGTCATTGGCTATGATTCATCTCGTGAAGCAATCTGCAAGTAACAACATAACTGCAAGTCCCCAAAGACAGTGCCCTTGCTTCTTCACCAAAAGCTCATGTTCGTGTTTCCCGGTATTTGGCATCTACTTGCATGGTCATTGTATGATATGTAATCTGTTGTTGTGTTTTGAGTTGCCAGCCAGCAATTATCGACATGGCCGAGCTGAAAGATGTGTTGGGGAGGTGTTCAGGGCATTGCATCACGTCAAAAACCAAGGTAAAGGCACGTGGACACAATGAACTTTGCAGAGATATGGCTCATGGGTGCTGCATTTCCATCATTTTGGAGATTGGAGGATCAGTTAAAATCGGAAGCAGTGTTTTGCTCCCCTGTCCAATGATCTGAAATTTGAAAACACAAGTGCTAGTCCTCTCCCAACTGATCATGACAATCAAGTGTTGGTGCTTAATACTTTCCACAGTTTTCTATGCTTTGCACGATGTTGGTATCCGACAGTTGCCATGTCAGCTTTCATTGCAGTATTTTGCTTGGATAGTTGCAGCCTTATCCTTCAGGCATAACATAGAGTAGTGGTGAGTTTGGTTTTTTCGTTTTCGGCCCTGGGGACACGGAGCCTTGAATGAATCAGCCTAAACTTTGCTTCTTTGTATCACGATCGGTACAGGATTGAGAAGGGACAGCATCTTCCTTTCCACCAAAGCTGGATTCATATCTGGTGAGGAGCATACCTGGGTTGGTGCCAGTGCGCTTATCGCTTTAGGCAGGTCATTGTAGCTTTGAGCTGCACAATGCTATTGCAGTTTGTGACATTCAAACTTGATGCAGTGGGGGCCCCAGTTTAGCGACCCCTGTTTAGCGACCTGCCTGGGTTTACCAAACCCCTGAACGGTGTGTCACCGTTCCCGTAGTACTTGATTTCACTACGACATGGTACCCCCTATACTGGCAGCCAGGGTACCCCCTACACTGGGGGCTAGGGTACCCCCTATACCCGCGGCAAGAGTACCCCCTACATTGGCGGCTAAGGCGCCCCCTACACCGGCGGCCAATGTAGCCCCTACACAGGCGGCCAGGGTACCTCGCATGCCGACAGCGTCCTGGTCGTGTTGGGGCCGGCATCGCTGCACGGGACGCCTTGTGGGACTTAAAATACTGCTAAACTGCGTTAAGTACTGCTGAAGCACTTAAAGTACTAGGGGAATTGTAGCGACGCGTCTAGGTTTAGCAACCTCTCAGCCGGCTTGTCACGGGGGGTCGCTAAACCAGAGCCCCACTCTATATCGATTGTCATAAACAGGCATCATGACATTGGGAAGGTGCCTAACCCAAACCTCATTGTGTCTACACTCATTGCTGCTTACACTCTCAAGGGTGACATCACAGTACATTATCTTGTAATGATCTGAAAACAGGCCAGTTCTTGAGGGCACTGCTTGCAACCATTCCTGCACCACGTGTTGCTGCCGAATGACTGCTTTGACTCTGCTTTCTTGTGCATTGTGGCAAACCACTGGTGGCAACGCACAGTGCCTCTCTTGACCTGCAGTGTCGTTGGGCCCAGTGTGGGCAACAGCATTTTTGGCTGAGCTGTCACATTGGAAGAGGTATCTCTTATCAAAGTCACCATGCATTATTGACTGCAGAAGCGATCATTGGAAATGGTGGGTCCGTCCATGCCCAGAGAATTTAACCCAATATTTTCACACCTCAGTATGCCCACTGCATGTGCTTGTTGCAGTTGGCGTCGGCTTGTTGTTGTGCCGATCAATGGGCGGTATCTTTGGTCAGTGTTTGCAATTGTCGCTAGTGCTGCACCGCATGACGCAAGTAGGACCTGAAATATTGTGTATGAAAAACGACGGGCAAATTGTGTGTAGAGTGCAATATCGATTTGCAAAAAGAGGTCTTCAATCAAATACAGCCTTGCTGAGCTCTTTTCCCCACGGCCTGTTATGCAATTACTGCGTTCCAGAGACCAATGCGGCTGCCATGTGTACATTTTCATGAACGTGCTAGTGGCTTCTTTATTTGCTGTTACAAATGGGTGTTGTTGACTGACAGATGCGCTAAGGGACAAGCTCATGAAGGAGAGCAAGATAGTTCAAAGCGACTTGGCACAGGGCGTTAACTGTATTCATACAGAATGCATACGAGCTTCTCTGCAGGAGAGTCTGGAAAACATGGGGATTCGAACGGCAAGTATGCAGTCACAGTCGCCAGCATTATTCCCAGCTAGTGGGATGCCTGTCTTTGTATTGCTTGTGAATACTTGTTTGCGAAATTGTTTGAGTATTGACGCTGCCATGCAGCAAAGGGGCCGGGGTCATATAGGTCCCTCGTGGCTATCCACAGGCTCCGCAAAATGTTGTCATAATTGATGCGATGTTCAGAACAAGGTCCAACCTATTTATCCATTTGTAACTTGCAACTGGTTTGCTGCACATGCATGTCAGACATCCTGTGAGATGATGTCGTGAACTGGTGGCATGCCTGTACCCAACAAACATGATTTTTGTGCATCAGCATACCTGGTTTGTGCCTTAAAAGAGTATTTGTACCTGTCTGGAGAGTATCAGAAACCCCATCTGATAGTACCATATCAGGGTTTGTGCTTGCCAAACCGGTGCTTGCCATTGTTCTCTTGCCGTCGCCAAGATGCCTGTGCTGAAATTCTTGTTTGGTGCACTTGCTTTTGCTGGGCAACACAGCGGCCTTGCAACTTGGAGGCGATGGCCAGTTCTTAAGCATCCGGAACATTTGTTTGCTGTCGCCGCCCCTCTACCTCCCCGCCTCCTTTTTGCTCTATTTGCACGCCACCAAATTTGTGCTGGGTACTAGGTTGACCTGCTGTACTTGCACAATGCTGCGGAGACTTATATCCCTGCGATTGGAAGACCATCCTTTTTTGCGCTTTTAAGGAAGGCTTTCATCGAATTGGAAGGTACGCAATGTGCCATTCTGCGTAGTTATTTGCCTGGATGGGCTCGGCACTTTGCTTCTGTATACTTCCTCTGTCCCATATTAGTGCCATACATGATAATGGCGCATTTTGTCACCATCATAGAACTTATAATTTAATGAAATGTCGTCTAAAGCTGTGCTTATGATTTGGAGTATCTGCTCAAAAATTCACGTCAAGAATTGCGGATTTGGCATAACTTTTCAGCAAGTGTCTCTTACCTGGTAAACGTCAATTTTTCACATCAAATGAACAAAAACTACCTTTCGCCCCACGCTCAAAAGGGTCTCACTTGTTCTTTTTGAAAATTGGTGGTCGACTGTTTTGGGACCCAATCTTTCCGATTGTGACATCCTTTTCTAGTTTTAGAACGTTTTTGCAACTTATTTTGTCTCTCAAATAGACGGTATTTAATATGGGACAGAGGAAGTATTTCGTAACTGGAGTCTGTTAAATCATCACTTCTGGGAACAAATTTAGTCATAGGTGCAGCCACATATCAGTTTACGTTGCCATGCTCTGCAGTGTGGCATGACCATGGTAGCTGGCTGCCGTGCTTGCTTCTCGTTTTCGGTCTTGTTGATGTGTATGGCATGGCGCTGTGAAGTAGTTAAAAAGCCGGTGGTTGCCAATGCCATTTGCTGCAGTGCTGCATACAAATGAGGAACAATACTCTATGACCTAGCAGCAGAATTGCTGCTTGTTGAACATGTTGAACATGTTGCCTAATCCACTTACTTTCTGCGGAAGCTTTGTGCTGCTCACAGACCTCAAGCGACAAAACCACATTCGATCCTATGGGTTGGCGACTTGGAATTGTTTCAGAACACGCCCAGGCGATAGATTGGTAAGTTCCCTTTTGTGTTGACTGATCCTCACCTGCCCACCTCAGGAGTGCATCGTTGAGCCCTGTCCTGGCGTCGCTGTTTGGCGCGACAGTGGTAATGCCTATTTAGGTGATCGATAGTTTTGAATGGGGAACATTGGTGCTTCAACTGGCGTGCGCCACTTTTGGTGAATAGGATTCTCAATGTCGGCTATTAACAAATGTAGTTACTACTGAACTGGGAGCAGATGGCATCCTTGATGCTGCTTGGGTTACGCTGCCGCTCAGGGCGATATGTGCAGATAACTGGCGCACTCAGCACATGCTGATGATGGCCAAATTTGAATGAAGAATGGCATCCTGGTTACTGAATAACGGTTTGCACCCTAACTTCTCGTGCCATTGCGCACAGTATCTGTCTTTGGAGGAAGTCGTCGAATTAGCTCGCGAGGTGGGAGGAAGAAATCATGGCTTCCGATATATACAACTCCCGGTGCGTGACGTGTCCTTAGTCACCCGACACACAAATGTATCTGTGGCTTCGTCATGGCCGGGAATGCTTGTATCCCTAGCCTTCAGACACAGAGCGGCATTGCTGCTGAAGTTGAGCAGATTTTGATCTGGTGCTTCAATTTGGCTGGAGGATTGCTCAGAGGTGTCTGCCTGCCTTTGTACCCCTTCTTGTTAGGTTGGGTCCTTTCTGGCCCACTCCACGACGCCTGAAAGAGTGGATGTGCGCATGCAGATTAGCTTGACAATGGATGAAGCCTGGAGCCAGTCGTGGCAGACAGTTAACGGCAGGAGTGCCAGTTTGATGGAAGCAGCGGCGGAATTGGGCGTTGGAGTCTTCGCGTCTGGACCGTTGCAGGAGGTAAGTGGAAGGCAGGTGGTGCTGCACCCATTGCAGATCGCGCATGTGCCAACAAGAGCATTGGGGTGCGTGTACCCTGGCGTTGCGGGGAAATTCCAGTTGCCAAAGCACGTCGACAAATTCCGACCCAACACAATCATGGCTAGTATTCTGAATTTTATGGCGAAGGCACTGCGTACTGGGTCAGCGTGGTTCAAGCATTGCTCTGATATTGAAGGAGTTCGATACCGTTTTTTTTCGTTTCGGAGGTGTGGCACGGAGTAAATGACCCATGCATCGACCTGAGAAAACCGCAGTTACATTTTGACAAAGGGCAAGATAAAAAAAAGACAGACGAGATAAAGAACACAGGTTTGTGCGCAGGTGGTGCTTTCGTCTTTGACATTGAACATATCTGAAGATGCAAGGAACGCATGTCTTCCAAACTTTGCATACGCTTGGAAATTGCTGCGACTTGATGATTAGTTTGATGATTAGTTTGAGCCCCGTTGCACAGATCTGCGAGCATGTGCGGATTGGTGGGTTGTCTAGAAAATTGGAGTAGGTTCATGGAAGTATCAACCCCATATGCTTGCTCTTCAGGGGCCCACGTTTCTGCAGTTAACAACAGTTTGTTGACAACTCCGCATGAGAAGGGTGGCGTACCAGGAACTCAAAATGCGCTGAAAACTCTTGTGAACGAAATAACTTCACATCGCGATCTGTGTACAGCTAGAAGTACTGGCCTGTCAGACAATCCGTTGCGCTATTGTCCGTGCAGTACATTAAGCCATACTCCAGGCTTTTTGACGATATTCTGACGCAAACTGGTTGCTGAAATCGCACCTGATGTTCGTACAATGATCATTTGCTGGACAGGGAGATCTGCTGAAAGCAGAAGTGAATGGCGCCATACGCGTTCCTGAGTGGCCTGCCCTCAGCACGGCCCAGGTCCTCCTTCAGATATCTAGAAGCACGCCATACCTCACAGCAACACTTGTCGGCCACAAGACGCTTGCACATGTGGCACAGAACACCGAAGTGGCTTTTGTGCCTCCCTTGGACAACGCGACGTTTCATCTGTTGATGGGCAATCTCAAGCTGGAGCAACACGCCTGATGACCAGCGGAGGTGTTGCTCTTCGTGCTGCTGGCCTGTCACGGCGTCCACGAACGCGTTGCTACTCGCTGTTGCCATGTTCTTCATTAGCGACATGCGCTGTTGCCATGTGGAGCGACAATGTGGGGACCATTTGCAGGAAACTGTTTGAAGCAGAATGCTGCACATTAGGTGTAAAACACCTCGCATTTGTGGACGCGCATCGGTCGTCTGGAAGTCGTCTTGTGCAATTGCAGAGGTCGCTGCTGCCTGTTGGTGATTCGTTGGCGGCAAGCGCAGAGCGTGAACTGCATGCAGGCGTGGAAAGGAGTATGCAAAGTGATCAACACCCTCGACAAGGCGTGCAGAGTCACCGCAAGTATGTGCGGAAAGGCGTGTTGGGCACGCTGTGGGGCTGGTCGTGGAGACCCAATGTCGGTGTTCCAGTTGTTTCCAGTCGTCGTTTTTCCGTTATGATCTGTCAACGGGTTTTGCGTTCAGAAGTCGCAAACCCTCACAAAGTTGTATTTAAAACTCTCGTGGAATGGATGGGTGACTGTGTACAACAGCGTGAATCTGGCTCGCATTGGAGTATTGCAATGCAAGGCGTATTCAGATTTAATGTGCGCCTTCAGGACAGAACGCTGACGGATATGAATGAATGAACATGCTTACAGGCAACGTGAAAATTCGACACATTGGTCATGTCGCGTGTCTCTGCTGAACTCAGATAGTCAGGCAACGTCCCTTTGCTAGTGGTCTGCACTGACCTCACAATGATTGGCAAAAATCAAGCTAATGGATATGACATTCATTAACGAACAATGTTTCTTGGTGGTAGACTGTACGTTTGCTGAGGCTAAGCGGTCAGAAGATGCCCTAGCATAGTTAGGAATGGAGCGTGGAAGGCCGTGCGAATGCCACCAGTAGTTCTTTCCGCAACACCAGCACATACCCATTCCTTGTGTTTTGCAATCTAGCAGCCGTGTCTGCCAAGGCATCGTGGCACTTTTTGCAGTAGACAATGGCCATGCACTTGATTGGCCTCTTTTAGGAGAACGGCAGGTGTGCAACAGCATTACCCAGAAATGATGTTCCTTGGATGTGGAATTACACCCAGAGGAAGGCCCTGTACCCTGGAAAGCAAACGCCACAATCTAAGCAAGGTCCCTGAGCCGATCGCCTGAAGAGGAAGACAATGCCCTGAAGTTTACAAGGCCGGAGCCCGGCGCCTTCCATGCGCATGGCGCTCCTGTGGGGTAGCCCGGCCCATGGGCCACCCACACTCAAGTTTGCAATTCTCAGAATTACCGACATTTGAAAATTAAAATCAGTTGTATCTTGCACATTACGCAGCAAGAAAGGATTGTTGTTTCCCCACAACCAAAGTTCCTCAGCCACTGCTACCGACCGGGAAGGATGCGCCGAGGCTGCTGTGGCCACCCAACTGAGCTGCCGAGCTCATCTTTATATGGTGCCAGATTGCCATTAACTGCCATCCACCTATTCCTGCCAACTTATGATTTGGACGGCTGGCCAAGTTGATCGGCGACTTTTTCTGCCCCCCTGCCCCAATCAGCTACTTCCCTGCGAGGGCGTAGCCCTTCCGTGACACCCTCATTACCAGCTGAGGCCCTGTTGTGCCTGCCGATCTACACCGCTGCAAACCGGTGTCACCACTACCACAATTTCAAACTTGTTCCATCCCCATCACCCCACCCCACCCCGACACCCCAACTCCCAGCCAACACCACAACAACTGGTGTTACCTTGTAGGCGTTGTGAGCACGGTGCTCCAAACGATCGTTTCGATCTTCGCTACGACCTTTTGCAAAGCATGGCAAATTTGGAATCGCTTCTTCCCCATTGGCTAGGTGCAATTCGATCGTGGCAGATTCTGGACTGCTAGCTAGAGCAAAAACCACTGTAGGTGGAGTATGAACTTCGCCCCTTTTTCTTTTTTGGACATAGCCTGGAGATGGCCTGAATCGTTTCCTTTACGATTTCTAAAGGTGCGATATATTTCAATTCCGATTTCCGCCGTCTTGGTGGGGATCTATTGGGGGTAGATTCTGGACAATTTTTCAAACAACGACCACTGCAAGTGGTGTATGAATTCCAGCTACGGTCTTTGTTCTAGTTGCAGACGGTCGCCTTCAAGTCCCACAGGCATCGCCGCTAGCGCGAACTCGTTTTGTTGTGAAATTTGGAAATGGAAGATTCAAGAGGTTGCGCCCAGGAAGAATCAGCGTGACCTCCGTGGGGCGGTCGGTGCAAGGTGACACCAGTGAACTGTATCGCTGGTCGGTTCGCCAGGATCGGGCCAATTGCGGCGTTCTGTGGTGTGGCGAGGCAGGGCACGGGGACTGCAAGAGTTTTGAGTAAGGTCCAGGCACAATCGGCACGGTGTGATGTGATTCCGCAGGTTTACCAGTGGAAGGCAGCCAGAGGCGCTGATGGGCCTGCGCCAACCGTTCCGATTGCTTCTGGCGTTCGGCTACTTGATCCTTGCCAAGACATGAGTCAGGGTCACGACAGGGATCTGGAGACCACAAAGTGCTGTGCCGATCCACCACCTGCGTTTTTGGAACGGTTGGGGGTGGGTGGTGACTTGCGATATGCAGCAAGTTTGGCGTGCGTGTTTGGGATGGCGAGTGCTGGATATTTTGGTGTTTGGCCATCGCGTGTGCCTTCTGCCAATAGGCAGAAGGCAGGAAGGGATGTTGGGAAGGCAGGTCTCACCGGCCTCGTCAGTCGTCACTGTATTCCCCGCCCCTCCTCTTGCGCCGTTGGAGACCAATCGCAGCTTCCCGTGCAGCCAGATCTCGCCAAAGCAGGTAGTCGTCCGCGACGCCTCGGTGACGCCCACGTGTCATGACGGCGGGCTGGCGGGTTGACCAGGTCAACCCCATCGATTGCGTCGGCTAGGCGAGGCACTGGCGACTGACGGCTGTGGTAGACACTGTGCGAGGGTGAAGCCAGCCACTGCGCGCCCACAGCCTGCTGTGCCGTTATGCCTGCGAGCCCTCACTGGACACGCCGATTGGCCGATTGCCAGCCCCGCTCAAGCCCTCCCATGCAAGCCTGCGCACGTGTGCATTTCGATCGCCGCAAGGCGTCCCAGCTCAATCCCGCGTGACAAAATCCTCGGCTTGCCGCCGCAGCCCCTCACCCGCGAGGGCGCAGCTAGGCGCACTCATCCGTCGCTATTTCCCCCGCCTTTGGATCGGCCCATAGGCACGAACGCCCCACCATAGTGCTTTATGCAGTGCTGTGGCTGAGTCACGCAAAACATAATTCCAGTAAAGGGCTGGGTTAAAAGTGTTGCAAGGGCGGCAGTCCATTCTGGCCGTTATCCCCACAGATAGCGCAGTAAAACCACCCTCAAATGGGCAGCTGAGCAAAGCCGACAACCTCAGCACCACGTCAGTTGAAGGTTCGCTGAAGTGCCAAAATTTCGCCCCTCTCACGAACGGACTCTTCGCGAAAAATTGCTTGTCACAACGATGACAACCAGCAAAAATAGCAGCTACGACAAGGGGAAGCTTCAAACGAGTAGCAAATGTCCAACCGACAGCCAACCATGCAAATACGCTTGTAGAAACTCTCATCATCATCATCATCATCATCATAATCATCATTTTTTACAGAACAAGGCAATGAGGTAGCCGTCAGCTTCCTATTTTGCCTGAGCAAAGCAGTGTCGGTGATTGGTTCATTGGAATCTAAGGAGAATACAAACTAAATGTATGAACTATGAAATTTCGCTGCCTAAAAGTGATAATCGATGGTAATACATCAAACGAAGTGTGTTCGCAAGCTGTCGAGCTGGAACTGTAGCAAAGAGTACTTTCGCATTGCGACATTGAAAAATACGAGAGTGGCTTCGACGGATGGTGTTGTAGGCTTGGCAGTGGAAGAGAAAATGGAGCTCGTCTTCAGGTGCCAAGTGGCATAACGGACACAATCGCCTCGAAAATTCTGGAATGGATTGTCTCGCTTGGTGTCGTTGATTCTCGACTTCCAGGAAATGCACCCCACAGCGAAAGCGTAGGAAGAAAGTCTTCAAGGAGATAGGTTGTAAGGTTGACAGGAATCGTTCATAGCGGTAGACTGGCTTGATGTGTCTGTACCAACGCTGAATTCTTGAAGAAGGGCTGGTGAAGACATTGGCGATGTGGACATGTTTGTATATCCGTTGAAAGGACTGTATGTCAACTGGCGTAGCCTCCGTGAAACTGAGAGCTGGCCAGAATCGATGGAAGAAGGCAATGATCCGTCCATACCATGAGCGAGGAATGGTAGAGAATTGTTGAAACCCGGACTTGAAAATGGCGCCATGAACCCGAGAATTGGGTAGTTCCACCATTCGATTCCAGTATCGCATCAATTGTCTCCATAAATAAAATTCTAAAGGAAGTGCTCCCATTTCAGCATATATAATCCCAAGTGGCGTATGGCCAGGAAGGCAAAGAATTTGGCGAAAGAATTGAGTCTGGACTTTCTCCAACTGATGCCATTGAGTCTTCGTGAGAAAGGGGCCCCAAATAGGAAAGGCGTATCCAACGGATCCCAAAACATAAGTCTTGAATAGGTTGTATGCAATTTTAGGGTCGGTAATGCAAAGAACACGTAGCCTTTGAAGAATTAATCCTTGAGCCCGGCGTGCCCTCCCCAATATAGCATCAAGATGGGGCTGGAAAATGATCCGACTTTCAGAAGAAATTCCAATGCCTAAATAAGGGTGCTCATTTGTAACTGAAATATCCCAATTGTCAAACCTATATTTATCAGGGGTTGCAGTAAAGAAAGCCATGATGCGAGTCTTTGAGAAGTTTGGCCCAATTCCAGAAAGAGATTCCCAAGTCTGTAAAATCTGAAGCGCATATCCAATTTGATTCCAAGATTGCACGGGTACACAAGTATCATCAGCAAACATCAAGGTGGTGATGGGGATCTGAGAAATCGTGGGAGATTGGAGGTGTTGTCGAAAGAGTTGTTGAAGTGGTTCCTGAAATAAG